AGACTCGCTGAGGAGGTGACTTGTGGGATGAGACCCAAAGTAACGTATTAGTATAAAAAGTCAGGTCACGCGCTGGGCGTGGGGGTGCACGCTGCTAGTCCCAGCTACGCAGCAGCTGGGGTAGGAGGACAAAAGGATCCCACTGATTAGGGCTTCCCAGCCATTGAGGAGTGTATTAATTTCCTGATAAGTTACCACCAACTGGGTGGCTTGAAACAACAGAAAGGTGTTCTTTCCCAGTTCTGGAGGCCAGAGGTCTGAAATCCAAGTGTTGGTACGGCCGTGCTCCCTACACAGGCTGAGGGAGAATCTTTTGTTGCCACCTCCAGCTTCTGGTGGCTGCTGGCATTTTTTGGCTTGTGGCCACATTCTTCATTCCTTCAGTCTCTGCCTCCATCTTTGCATGACCTCAGTAACTTCTCTCCTCTGGGTATCTCTAATAAGGACACTTGCTGTTGGATCTAGGGCCCACCCTAAATCCATAATGATCTCATCTCAACATCCTTATTTTAATCACATCTGCAAAAACCTTTTTCTAAGCAAGGTGATATTCACAGGTTCTGCAACTTAGGACGTGGACTTATCTTTTAGGGGAGGCACTGTTCAGCCCGCTACAGGGTGCTTGGCAAAGTCATACACCCACTGAACCATACCCGTTTATCTGATTAGCTAGCACATATGCCGGGCAGAAGGGGAGAAGGGACCTTGAATGCTGTTGCTATAGTTTGGTTTGTTTGGCCCCTCCAAAGCTCGTGTTGAAATTTGATCCCCAGTGTTGGAGGTGGGGCCTGATGAGGGGTGTTTGGGTCATGGGGTCGGATCCCTCATGCATGGCTTGGTGCTGCCTTCCTTGTGTTAATGAGTGACTTCTCATTAGTTCCCATGAGAGCGGGCTGTGAAAAAGAGCCTGGCACCTCCCCACCCCCTCTCTTGCTGCTTCTCTCACCACGTGATCTCTGCACATGCTGGCTCCCCTGTGCCTTCCACCACCCACTGTGAGTGCAAGCAGCCTGTGGCCCTCATCAGAAGCAGCAGATGCTGGTGCTATGCTTCTTGGACAGCCTGCAGTACTGTGAGCCAAACAAACCTCTTTTTAAATTTTTATTCTTTTTTTAGACACAGGGTCTCACTCTGTTACCCAGGCTGGAGTGCAGTGGTGCAACCATAGCTCCCTGGAACCTCCAACTCATGGGCTCAAGCAATCCCTGCCTCAGCCTCCTGAGTAGCTGGGACTACAGGCATGTACCACCATGCCCCTCTAATTTTTTAATTTTTTCTTTGTAGAGATGGGGTTTCACTATGTTGCCCAAGCAGATCTCGAACTCCTAGCCTCAGACTAATCCTCCTGCTGCACCTTGACCTCCCAAAGTGCCTGGCCCTGAGTGTGACCTTTTTTTCCCTTTAACCATGGGCAACTGTCTTAGTCTGTTTCTGTTGCTATAAAGGACCCTAGCTGAGCAAGACCCCATCTCTACTAAAAATATAAAATATTAGCCAGGTGTGATGGTGCGTGCTTGTAGTCCCAGCTACCCGGGAAGCTGAGGCCAGAGGATCACTTGAGCCCAGAAGTTTGAGGCTGCAGGGAGCTATGTTGACACCACTGCGCTCTAGCCTGGGCAACAGAGCAAGATCATGTTTCAAAAATATTTTAATAAATAAATATATAAATGTTCATTATATCTAAAAAATACCTTCAGAGCAACATCTAGTGTTTGATGAAATATTGAGTCATGGCCTAGCCAAGCTGACACATAAAATTAACCATCATACATGTTTCAACTTATAAAGTGCTCACAAAACTGTCTCATTTTGACTTATAGCAAATGAAGAGGAACTAATGTATTATTTGGGAAAAGGAAATTAGAGTCACACAATTATACAAAACTAACATATCAAATCAGGACAAATGAAGATGAATCTAGTTGTCATTGTGAAACAAACTTGCAGTCACACTGACGGAGTCATGGGGAGGTTGCCTGGGCATGGCTGCAGTCCCGGTTGAACGCTGGCAATCAAAAGTGCCACTCAAAAATACTTCTAAGTCCCCCACCAGTAGTGGTTATCAGCTCAGGCTAGCCTGTGACCTCCTAGGAGGAAGCCCTGGGCTCCGTGGCAGTCCAGGTGGGGCCTAATCACTGGATAGGCCTCCCAATGTTTTTCAGAGTCCCCACCAGAGATCAGGACTGGCCCCAAAAGCCTGGGAAGGTAGTCCCAGGCCTGGCCATGTTCCCTCCTTGGGTCTGATCATATGCAACGCCTGCTGAAGAGTTTCTTAGTTCTCCTCTAGAGGCCAGGACTGGCCCCTGCAAAGAGGTAAATCTATGAATGGCATTCTAGGGTCCCCCACAGCCCACACAAAAATCTTTCAAGGTTACCCTCCAAATGAAGGGACAAGACTAACCAGAACCAACCAGGGAGCCCCAGGAAGGGTATCCCAGGTCTGCCCATGGCTGGAGCTCAGGACAAACCAGAAAGCAGAAACAGCACACGTGTTCATAAACCAATGAATGGATAAATAAAATGTGATCCATTCATGCAATATCATTTGGCCCTAAAAAGGAATGAGGCACTGATACAAGCTAAAATGTGGGTGAACCTGGAAAACATCATGCCGAGTGAAAGAAGCCAGACACAAAGGTTACATATTCTGTAACTCCATATATATGAAATGCCCAGGATAGGTAAACCCACAGAGACAGGAAGTAGATTGGTGGTTGCCAGGGGCTGGAGGAGGCGGACAGGCAGTGACTGCTGATGGAAATGGCGTTTCTTTTTGAGGTGATGAAAATTCTCTAAAGTTAACTGTGTGAAGGTTGCACATGTATATGAATATATTAAAAACTACCGAATTGTACACTCTAAGTGGGTGAATTGTATGATATGTGAATTATATTTCACTGCCATTTTCTAAAAAGCTGCCTGCCACACGATCATAATTTCAAAGTATAAGAAAGAAAAATATCCTTCTCTAATGTGAAAATATATTGAAAGTTAGAATGGGGAAAACAATCATAGTAAAACAAAATTTTATGTGTTCTTTCTCCCAAACAGTTTGATGACCTTTGAAAAGGCTATAAGGAGCCCAGACGAGGATAAGATGACTATATCTGAATTGTATGACGTCATGTGTAGGTTGTCAGAGAAACTCATACAGTGAAATAATGACTCATTTTTTGAAATAAGACTGCTTCAGCACTTAAAATGTCACCAGAATAGGGGAGTCAAGTAGGACTTTCTTAGTTTCTTTCCTAAAAATCTAACTTATTTGGAATCCAACTTTGACTTCACAGCTTCAAATTATTTCTATGCTTTAAAACCGTTTTCCCTGAGAAAGAGGTTTGACTTATACTGACATCCAATGTGCTTTGAAGCGTTCAAAATGATGGACGTTTTGGACGTGAACAGCAGCCGATGATGAATTTGCACATGAAGACCTGATTGACAAACAGCTGGCATAAGAACAAGCCTGTTGACACAACACGGATGGAAATTTTTGAAGAGCTGGAAGCCAACTCCTATAAGTCAAAAAAAACCTGTTGTTAGTAGTAAGCAAAATCCATGCTCAAAGGCTTTGGTTGAGAGGATGCTTAGCTTTATGTTATCACCTTGGACTGACACCAAGAATCAGAGCAGTGTGGACATCATAAGGGCGAGAAGCAAGTGAAAATGATGTCATGTTTGAATGCATTCAGGATGCAAAGTATTATTGGAAAAGAAAACTGAAAGACTGACCTTTAAAAGGGAGCTGAAAAAAAAAAACCAAAAAGAAAAAAATAAGAAAACTGAAAGAGTAAACATATCCTACTGCAGAATGGGACAGAAAAAAAAGTCGCCAATTTTATTGACTGTTATCTTGTTAAATATTAGTATCTGATTATTAAGTTGAATTGCATTCTCATTCTCCTTTTACAAGGCCTTACCTTTATGCATCTTAAGACTATGCAACAAAAAACCTACAAAAATTTAAATAACAATAACCTACAAAATTTAAATATCCAATAAGGAATTTAAAAAGGGGTTTAAATAAATTGCTGTATCAGAGGACTGAAAGAAACATTACAAAATGTTTTTTCTCTAGGCCGGGCGCGGTGGCTCACGCCTGTAATCCTAGCACTCTGGGAGGCCGAGGCAGGTGGATCGCTCAAGATCAGGAGTTTGAGACCAGCCTGAGCAAGAGCGAGACCCCGTCTCTACTAAAAGTACAAAGAAATTATCTGGACAACTAAAAATATATATTAGCTGGGCATGGTGGTGCATGCCTGTATTCCCAGCTACTTCATGAGGCTGAGGCAGAAGGATGCTTGAGCCCAGGAGTTTGAGGTTGCTGTGAGCTAGGCTGACACCACTGCACTCTAGCCTGGGTTGTCGACAGAGTGAGACTCTGTCTCAAAAAAAAAAAAATGTTTTTTCTCACAGATACAAATTGTTTAATTAATCCTGCTATAAATTACCACTAATTGGCACTGTTAAGTAGTCTTATTGTGGTTTTGTTCAAACAGCATTTATGCAACAGTACATTTAAATAATACAGACTAATACTAATATATAATTTTAACTATCAATTTTTCGTTTTTTTATGTTAAAGTAATAACTTTGTCTAATTATTATCCGTTACATTACGGCTCTTCTGGTTCAAGTCCCCGACCCCGCCCTTCACAAGCCCCACCCTCACAACAGGCTCCGCCCCCGAAACCCTACGTTTCCCTGACTGGCCCCGCCTCCTTAATGTCCAGGTTCCGCCCCTCACGACAGGCTGGTGCCGGTGTAATCACGGAGTAGAGCTCGCCTCTTCCGGTTCAGGTTGTCATGGTGGCGCCTAGCCCTCCCTGCGTGTCCCGTCTTTTCCGGTCTCAGTCCGGCGTGGCAGCGCGGACAGGCAACCCTAGGTCTTTCAGACCCTCTCTGTTATGGCGGCGTCCTGCCTCTTCTTCTGGCCACCACCTGTCATGGCGTCGCTTTGAGTAGCCACTTCCGGAGCCAACCTGCTCTGTTGCCCCGGCTCTCCCTAGTCCCGGCTCCCGCGACGCTCAGGGTTTACCGGAAGTAAAACATCGGAAGTGAGGCGTGCCTCTGCCCGGAAGCGAGCGCAGCGCTGGGAAAGATGGCGGCGGCGGTGGGGGCTGTCGGCAACGCGGTACCCTGCGGGGCCCGGCCTTGCGGGGTCCGGCCCGGCAGGCAGCGCAAACCCGGGTCGCAGCCGTGCGTGCCCCTTGCCGCCGGGCCGGCGCTAATAGCGAGCGGCGACGAGTTGGTCGTCGCAGTGTGGCCGTACCGGCGGCTGGCGCTGCTGCGGCGCCTCACGGTGCTGCCATTCGCGGGGCTGCTCTACCCGGCCTGGGTAGGTGCCGCGGCCGCCGGCTGCTGGGGCTGGGGCAGCAGCTGGACGCAGATCCCCGAGGCCGCGCTGCTCGTGCTCGCCACCATCTGCCTCGCGCACGCGCTCACTGTCCTTTCGGGACATTGGTCCGTGCACGCTTACTGCGCGCTCACCTGCACCCCGGTAAGTGTGTGCGCACGAGCCCCACCCCCGGCGCGGTCGTGCGGGTCGCTGCTGCGGCTTTCTTGTCAGTCCCATCTCTACCCGGGCCTCCCATCTGCCCGGCCTGGGTCTCCAGCGGCGCCCTCTATCCTTTGGCTCAGTCTTAATCCGGACCCCGCTGCTGACTTGCAGTGCGACCCTGGCGCGGGTTATTTACTTTCTCTGGAATTCCTCCCTGGTGTGGTCATTTAGATTTAATAACACCTATAAATGACTTAGGACAGGGCCCGGCATACATCGCTGTTTGGTAACACTTGTTAATGCTAGCTCCCATACTCTGTTGTTTCCTTGGAAACAGTCCTACCTTCCTTCTTATCTGTCTCCTGCCTTGGTGGTCAAAGTGTAAGACTAGACCTGTGGGATGAGTTCCCCCCGTCTATAAAGCTTGGTCTGAAGACGCAAATCCTACTAGCCAGTGCTCAGCGATCTTCCAAACTGTGAACAAAACAAGCATGGTATGTGGTCAGTCCCAGTGTAAAGGGGAGCAGCGGTTACTTATGAGCAAGTGAGTTAACTGCTTGCAGTCTCATTATATGTCTCTCTGGAAGATGAGAATGGTGATGGTGAGAACTGCTCAGGAGGCAAAAGCAAGGCAGTGCTTGTGACCTGTAGTCCAAAGTTTTGAATGAGACAGCGAGCGCTGCCATAGGAGGCAGTGACCATGAGCTGCCCTGGGTCAGCAGTTGACATCCAGTGACTGCACCACCTTCGTCTGGGCCTGCCTCAGATGACACTGCCAGTGAGCCTCCCCTCTGATCCCAGGTGCGTGTCTGTCTCAAGAAGAGGGAAAGAGACAGAAGCCTTCCTCTTTGGCTGCTAATGTGAATCGAATCCTCATTCTTCCCCTTAGAGAGTGAACTCATTCTCCTCTCCAATAAGACTTATCCCAGGGGAGGGGCTCAGCTTGGTGGCTTTGAGTTGGTATAATGAAAGACCTCAGTGAGGGATAAAATAAAGGAAGGGAGTGGTGTGGGAGAGTGTGACCTCCCCCAAACTTCCAGATGCCTTTGACTTGCAGCTAAACAGCATAGCTGTTAACTTCCTCTCCAGGGATAGAGAACTGGGAGGAGCTAAGCAGCCCAGTGGTTAGAAGAGGCAGATCTGGGTTTGCAGCAGAGATCTCAGACAGGACTGCTTCTGCTCTGGGGTTTCAATTCCCCCCTTCTGTAAAGTGAGAAACGTAACACCTACCTCCTGGTGCCATTGTGAGAAGAAGCGGAGATGATAATCTACAAAGCACTAGGGCCGGCATGGTGTATCGTGCCTTGTACTTTTCTTCCATGGCATTATCAGAGATTGTGGCTGTATATTTGTCATTATTTTCCATCTGTTTTGGTGGCCCATGAACTCTCCAAGGGATGACGCTTCGTTTCTCAGGGTCACCACTGTGCTCCCCATTCCCCATGCAGCAGGGTGAATACAGTTTAGGATTGAGGGAGCACTAAATGAGCTCCATTCAGTGCCTCCCGTGTCTTAGGTGCTGGGGAAATAGCAGCGAACAAAACAGGCAAATCCCACTGCCTTTATGGCATTCCTGGGAGAGAGAATTCACAGTGCAGTCGATAAAGAGAGAGTATCAGGATGAGGATGGGAATTTTGCCAGGGAACTTTAGATGGGGCAGCGAGGGAAGGGCTCCCAAGAGGTGATGTTTCAGCAAAGACCTGAAGCGGCAAGGGAGCCAGCTGTGCAAATGCACCTTCAGGGCAGAGAAAACAACACATGCCTTTAGCCAAGGCATGGATGTGCCTCCTGTGCTTGAGGACACAACGAGAAGAGTGAGCAGGGTGGGAGAGGAGGCAGAGCCAAGCAGGAGGCCAGACAGGCTGTGACAGGGACTTGGTTCATGTGAATTGAGGGTGGACTGGGTGCCTAGTGTCATTCTTCCTGTTTGAGTTCATGTCACAGTCAGCAGAGCAGGGCCCTGGGCATTGCATGCTGCGACCCCAGCTTTACAACACAGGACCTGGGCTGGGTGCAGTGGCTCATGTCTGTAATCCTAGCACTCTGGGAGGCCGAGGGGGGAGGAGCGCTTGAGCTCAGGAGTTTGAGACCCAGCGAGACCCTGGGGCTTCAGCAAGAGCGAGACCCTGTGTCCACTAAAAACAGAAAAGTTAGCCGGGCATGGTGGCGCATGCCTGTAGTCCCACCTACTCTGGAGGCTGAGGCAGGAGGATCTCTTGAGCCCAGGAGTTTGAGGTTGCTGTGAGCTAGGCTGATGCCACTGCACTCTAGCCCGGGCAACAGAGTGAGACTCTGTCCGGGAAAAAAAAAAGATGCAGGACCAGAGGCCCAGCGAGGTGGTGTTCCTTGTCCCTGGGATGGACTGGGGAGTAGCTGAGCCAGCATCCAGTGGCGTGTTCTGGAACATGCCCATGAGGCCTCTGCACCCAGAATCTCCCCGTGGGGGCCATCGAGCTATGGGCTGAGAAGAGCTCAACAGCAATGTTTCGCCTCTGGCAGGAGTATGACCCCAGCAAAGCGACCTTTGTGAAGGTGGTACCAACCCCCAACAATGGCTCCACCGAACTCGTGGCCCTGTACCGCGACAAGGTAGGGACCAAATGCCAGGCTGCCTGTAGCAGAGCTTTGGGTGGGAGTGCCAGATACTGACACCCCCAGATCAGGAGCCTCTGCCCCACACATGCCTTCTACCACAGGGCGAAGATGGGCTTGAGGTGCTGTCCTTTGAATTCCAGAAGATTAAGTATTCCTACGATGCTCTCGAGAAGAAGCAGTTCCTCCCTGTGGCTTTTCCGGTGGGAAATGCCTTCTCGTACTATCAGGGCAACAGAGGGTTCCAGGAAGACTCAGAGATCCGAGCAGCTGAGAAGAAATTTGGGAGCAACAAGTGAGTTCCTGGCTTCCCTTGGGTCCTTTGGCCGTCCTGCCCCCCTCCTATTCAGGAAGGGGAGACAGGAATCTGCCTTTTTAGCCAAACATCCCAGGTGAATGTGGCGCTGTTGCGAAACATGCTCTAGTCTAGTTTACCCCAAACCTGCCTGTGGCAGGAACTCCCAGAGGGCCTGGAGCCCTTGCCTGGTGCCATGAAACCCTGAGTGTGCCACCCTTTGCGGGAGCTGGCCCGTGGCCCCTTCTTGGTAACAGTTGGCTATTCGTCCTTGTTTTGTTGTTATTGCCATTCCCCTCTTCGTTTTAAATTCTTTAGGTTTCGGTCCTCACTGTTCTGCTCAGACGTATGTCAGCGTTTTAGTAATGGTAATGAAGACATTGGTGATCCTGATAGCTTTTCTTCTGTACTGGGTAGAACGGCCAATGCTGCCTTTGGTTTTGAGTCTCTGGCTGAAACTGCAACAGTTAAAAATATAATCAGCATCACCAAGGTGTTACCCCTCCAAGACGTCAACCCAGCACCAGGCGGAAAAAACAGGCCCAGGACCCCTGCCAGCCCATGTGCTCTCTCCTTTAATCTTTACCAAAACCAGAGTGCTGACGCGGCTGGGAGGGGCAGAGCTAGGCTTCAGATGCTGTCGTTTAGCATCAGAGCCCCCATCCTGGCCGCCATAGCAATGCTTCTCAACCTGGAAACCCGCAGAACTCCTAGGGGCTTCTTCCTGACTTAATTGTTTTTCAGAAGATTACAAATGTGTTTACCGTAACTATCGATCTAATACAAAGATTTATAAGAAGCATTTACCTGTCTCCCTCCCTGAAGTCGGCCGCATCGATGGCCCAGGACAGCAACGTTCCTTTTCCCGCCACTCTTCCTGCTCGTGCGAAGGCGCCCACCAGGATACAGGATGGGGCCCTGTTGTCACTGTTTGTTTTCATAACAGTAGGGTCACTCTTCACGTTTCTCTTCTCACATCCCAGGCCTGGGATGTCCATGCAATTAAAGGGCAGGACGGGGATGACCGTAGTTGACTTGGCTGGCCCCCTGGTCAGCAGAACACCCCCTTGGGCCCAGCCCCTTGCATTCTAGGGCTTTTATTCGGGCAGTTTCTAGGAAATGCCAGCTTCAGTGGGGCTGGAGCCCAGGCTCCCATCTTTGGGCCCCTGGGGGAATTTGCAGCCAGTATCCAGCTGCCTAGGCCTCCTCCGGGCGACTTCAGTGAGACGCTCCTTCGCCACTTGTCACGTCACCCAACCAAATGACAGGATTCTTGTCTCACACCAGCCCCGCAACTGCCGGGCAAGCCTATTGGTAGACTGAGAAGCTTCCTCTGGCTCCTGCAGAGCAGAGGGCGGTGGGCGGGCAGTATGTCTGCCCCAGATGAGGAGAAGCCCAGGTTCCCAACACCCACCCGCGGCTCCTCATTTTTCTGGGGAGGCCTACCGTGCCCCGAGTGGAGGTGTCAGGGCGGGGCCTCCACACCCTAGACGCCTTGCGCCAGGAACAGGATGGGGGGTCTGATCTCTTGCAGGGCCGAGATGGTGGTGCCCGACTTCTCGGAGCTTTTCAAGGAGAGAGCCACAGCCCCATTCTTTGTGTTTCAGGTAAAGTGGCAGCTCTGGCCATTCTCCTTTCCTCCCTCGGGGCTTTCACAGCCAGGGCAAACCTGTCTGCCACTTCCAAACCCCAAAAACCTGTCCCTGTCCTCATGGGTCAGAGCCTGTGAGCAGCAGAGGCTCCCGGGGGACAGGACAGGTGGGGTGGGGACAGACAGGCTGATGTCCCACAGGTGTTCTGCGTGGGACTCTGGTGCCTGGATGAGTACTGGTACTACAGCGTCTTCACGCTGTCCATGCTGGTGGCGTTTGAGGCCTCCCTAGTGCAGCAGCAGATGAGGAATATGTCGGAGATCCGGAAGATGGGCAACAAGCCCCACATGATCCAGGTGCGCGTGGCAGGGAGAGTCCCATCCATTCTGGGGGTGGGCATGGCACAGGCACATCTCCCGTGCTGACACTTGCTGGCCCTCACCGCCCAGGTCTACCGAAGCCGCAAGTGGAGGCCCATCGCCAGTGACGAGATTGTTCCCGGGGACATCGTCTCCATCGGTGAGGCCCAGTTCCACTCCATCCAGCTGGGAGCCCTGCCTTGGGGCCTCTGGCCAACCCTCCTGCCCTGCCCCGCAGGCCGCTCCCCACAGGAGAACCTGGTGCCCTGCGACGTGCTGCTGCTGCGGGGCCGCTGCATCGTGGACGAGGCTATGCTCACGGGGGAGTCGGTACCGCAGATGAAGGTGGGTGGCAAGAGGTGGGGGTCCTCAAGCTACTCGGCAGGAAACAGGCCCAGGAGAGGATGGGCCAGGGGGTGGGCTCGGGTAAGTGCCATGGCCAGGAGGAGCTGGGAAGGAAGGAGATGAGAGAAGCCAAGGACAGCCAGGGTATCTGTGGGTGCCCTGGGGTGTCAGACCAAGGTGGACTGAGAGAAGGGGGTGAGTCCTGGGAGAGGCCAGGGATGGGGTCACAGGGAGTAGGCGCTGCCAAGTGCAGGGGGAGAGAAGACGGGGTGCCACCCCCGGTGAGGGTGGGTCCTGGGACCTGGGGGGGATGCGCTGGGTTGGGCAGGGAGCGCCATGAGGGTCAGGCTGGCTCATTGCAGCCACAGGGCCAGCTCTTCAGGGAGGGAGAAGGAGGCGGAGTGGCCCGGGCATCCAGTTCACCACCTTCCTCCCCAGGAGCCAATCGAAGACCTCAGCCCAGACCGGGTGCTGGACCTCCAGGCTGACTCCCGGCTCCACGTCATCTTTGGGGGCACTAAGGTGGTGCAGCACATCCCCCCACAGAAAGCCACCACAGGCCTGAAGCGTAGGTGCCTCAAGGGTGTCTGGGGGTGTCCTGGCTTCCACCCCCTCCTCCCACATCTGCTTGATCATGAGGGAGTCAGGACCAGGAGACAGGAATGACAGTGGCTCTGCTTGTCTCCCCAGCGGTCGACAATGGGTGTGTGGCCTATGCCCTGCGGACCGGATTCAACACGTCCCAGGTGTGGGGCCTTGCCTGGATCTGGGGAGGTTGGGCCCCAGGGTGAGTGGGGGACATTCAAGCCATCACCCATTCAGACCCCAGAACATCCAGCCCACAGGCTCGAGCTGGCAGCAGGTGCCTCAGCCAGGGCCAGGGTGCAGAGGCCAGCCCAAGACCAGGCCTCCTTTCCCAGGCCTCAGGTTCTGGTGGGAGCCAAACAGCAGAAAGCCTGTCCTCTGTCCCTGCAGGGAAAGCTGCTGCGCACGATCCTCTTTGGGGTCAAGCGGGTGACCGCAAACAACTTAGAGACCTTCATCTTCATCCTCTTCCTCCTGGTGTTTGCCATCGCTGCCGCCGCCTATGTGTGGATTGAAGGTAAGCACCATGGCACCCAACCAGTCACTGTAGCCCCGCCTCTGAGGCCCCAGTCTGGCAGGCCCTGTCTCCGCAGGCACCAGGGACCCCAGCCGGAACCGCTACAAGCTATTTCTGGAGTGCACCCTCATCCTCACCTCGGTCGTGCCCCCTGAGCTGCCCATTGAGCTGTCCCTGGCTGTCAACACCTCCCTCATCGCCCTGGCCAAGCTCTGTGAGTGTTTCGGGTGTGGCTGGGCACCCAGCAGGACGGGGCCTAGGAGGACCCCTGACGCCAGCTCCTGCCCGCAGACATGTACTGTACGGAGCCGTTCCGCATCCCCTTTGCTGGGAAGGTCGAGGTGTGCTGCTTTGACAAGACGGGAACCTTGACCAGTGACAGCTTGGTGGTACGCGGTGTCGCTGGGCTGAGGTGAGCATCAGGAGCCCTGGGCTTAGGGGCTGCCCAGCAGAGGGCTTCTGGGAGGTCTAGGGACAGATGGCCCCCGTCCAGCCCAAGCCCCTGCAGTGAGGGCCTGCCTCAGGAGGTCTGTCTCCTGGGGCTTCTTTAAAGTCCCCAATGTGAGAGGTGGCGGTGGCACGGAGGCTCAGTTCGGGCCTAGAGCAGCCAGCCAGCCTCCATCCCACGCTGGCCATATGACCCACACACATGATGCCTGACTTCTAGGGGCACCTGTGAGGCAGGTACAGGTTTCACAAAGACCCAGCCGATGCCCGAGACCCCCAGTGGCTGACACGAAGCTCCATGCGGGTCCCTCTGTGGTAGAGTTGCAGCTCCACCCTCCACCTCCGCCCTGTAACCAACGGTTTCCCGTCCTTGCAGAGATGGGACGGAAATGACCCCCGTGTCCAGCATCCCAGTAGAAACACACCGGGCCCTTGCCTCATGCCACTCCCTCATGCAGCTTGATGACGGTACCCTTGTGGGCGACCCCCTCGAGAAGGCCATGCTGACTGCTGTGGACTGGACGCTGACCAAAGGTGAGGGCTGGAGCCTGAGGCCCAGCAAGGGCGAGCCGCCAGCTCCCACGGCCCCGGGCAGGCGGGCCCACGACTCTGGCATTGTCCCAGACGGGGGGCACAGGCTCTCCTCAGATCCAGGGCAGGCATGTCCTCAGGCATCCCCCTGGGTTGGAATCTACCCTTCCCTGACTGAAGCCATAGTGCTAGAGTCCTCTGAGCACACGTCCCCCAGCTTTGAGCCCCTCTCTAGCCCAGAGCCCCCCCAAGCAGGCCCTGGGAGAGGCAGGAGGGAGGTGGGGGAGGTCAGGGGCAGAGATGGGGGCTTGGCTGCCTCTTTGGAGCGAAGCCCCTCAGGACTCGTACTTATTTGTTTCCAGATGAGAAAGTATTCCCCCGAAGTATTAAAACTCAGGGGCTGAAAATTCACCAGCGCTTTCATTTTGCCAGTGCCCTGAAGCGGATGTCCGTGCTTGCCTCGTACGAGAAGCTAGGCTCCACTGACCTCTGCTACATCGCAGCCGTGAAGGGGGCCCCCGAAACCCTGCACTCCATGGTGAGCCAGCCGCGGACCCGGGCGGTGGGGAGGAGGCATGGGGCAGTCGGTGACGTCCCCCTTCATTCCCTGCAGTTCGCCCATTGCCCGCCTGACTACCACCACATCCACACCGAGATCTCCCGGGAAGGAGCCCGCGTCCTGGCGCTGGGGTACAAGGAACTGGGGCACCTCACCCACCAACAGGTAAGGACCCCCAGCTGCCCTCACCATGTGCCTGACTGTCAGCTCCTCCCTCGAGTCCCCCTCCTGTCCCTACAGCTCCATGGTGAGTGGGTGCCATGGGTGTGATTTCGTCCTCCACCCCACCCCCAGCTTCTTCCTTTGGAGGCCCAAAGTGGCACTCAGTCCTCAGTCTCCCGCCATGGGGGGGGCCCATCCTGTCCTGGCTCACACGACCACCTCATGCAGAGCACACCCAGACCTCGCCTGCCCCCGCTCTGGGGTGTCCCACATACCCTGCTGCTTCCCTGCCGAGCCACCTGGTGACTGCAAGAGCTTGGCACCCTCAGCTCCCTCACCCCGTGTCCGTCATCCACAAATCTGCCCTCCGGCCTCCACTGCCGACACGTGTGCCCTGTTACCGGCATCTGGCTGCTCCATTTTCAGTCTGCACCCTGCTGCTGTGGGATCCTTCCAGAGCCCAACGTCAGGTCACGGTGCTGTGTGCGGAGGCCAGGCCTAGGCTCTCGGCCGCCTGATTCCTGCACCTGGAGCCCCCTTCTCCCGAGTGGCACAGGCCCTCACTCCCTTCGGAGCCGCCATCTCAGAAGCCGCCCTGCCCGCCCCCCCACCCCGATTCCATCCCGATCCTGTCTGCCCTGCCCCACCTTTATCTCCCCCGGGGCTCCCAGCCATCTGTTTTCTGTGACTTTCTTTATCACATTTGTTCTCGGGTAGAATGTGGGCTCCCTGCGGGCAGGGGTGCTCTTGCCTAGTCTCTGGCATGTGGTGGAGGGTAAGTCAGGGACATGCCAAACCCCATGGTTTGGGGAGTCCCAACTTTGTTGACATGGAAGTTGAGCCACAGGGGGCTCCATGATGTGCCCACGTCCACAGCTAGGAGGCAAAGGTACAATGGGGGCCCAGGCCACCCAGCCGCTGCCAAACCCTATCCCTCAAGGATGCCCAGCACCTCTCTCCTGACCTCAGCATGTCCCTCCTACAAGGACAGGAGCTTCACTCACCTCCCCATACTTAGCACCATCACAAGACGCTGTGCTTGCTGAGGAAGTGTCCGCTGTCCCCCTGGCTCCCAGTGTGTGGTCAGAGCTCAGGAAATGCGGAGAGGGAGAGGCGGGAGGGACAGATGACGAGGGCACCTGTGTCTCTCCACAGGCCCGGGAGGTGAAGCGGGAGGCCCTGGAGTGTGGCCTGAAGTTCGTCGGCTTCATCGTGGTCTCCTGTCCGCTCAAGGCCGACTCCAAAGCTGTTATCAGGGAGATCCAGAACGCATCCCACCGGGTACGGACGCGGCTGGGCTCCACCTGCAGACAAGAAGTCGAAGCGGAGGCAGGGCTGTGACAATTCTAGCCTCACAGTGGGGCAGGCAGTGGGGGATGGGCACTCAGGTCTTATCAGTGAGGAGACTGCAGATTTTGGCCAAGCGAGATCATAGCTCAGGTGTTCACACTGGCCCTGGCCCGAGGACTCTTTGGGACTCACCTGTACCAGCCCCTCTCCCCTCCTCATCACTGAAATGTTCCCCCCATAGCAGCTACCAAGCCAAGAGGGTCCACACCATGGGCTGGTTCTTAATCTGCATTGCAAATGAAAGCTATGGGTGGTCTCAGAAGGACACACAGACATGTGTCTTTTTTTTTTTTTTTTGAGACAGAGTCTCACTGTGTTGCCCGGGCTAGAGTGCCGTGGCGTTGTCCTAGCTCACAGTAACCTCAAACTCCTGGGCTCAAGCGATCCTTCTGCCTCAGCCTCCCGAGTAGCTGGGACTAAAGGCATATGCCACCATGCCCGGCTAATTTTTTCTATGTATTTTTAGTTGTCCAATTAATTTCTTTCTATTTTTAGTAGAGATGGGGTCTTGCTCAGGCTGGTTTCGAATTCCTGAGCTCAAACAGTCTGCCCGCCTCGGCCTCCCAGAGTGCTAGGGTTACAGGCGTGAGCCACCGCGCCCGGCCCAGACGTGTCTTTTGTGCAAAACACACTGGGTAGAGGTGAATTGTGGTCCTTGGAGGTCCATTCAGGGTCTCCATTAGAGGGCCAGGACCTCCCGCCATGGCCTGCCTTAGGAGACTTGGCAGCAGGTCTCCGGGCTGGATTTCTGCCCTGCTGGGCCTGCCCTGATGACCTTCTGCCTCTCTCTCCTCAGGTGGTCATGATCACAGGAGACAACCCGCTCACTGCCTGCCATGTGGCCCAGGAGCTACACTTCATCGATAAGGCCCACACGCTGATCCTGCAGCCTCCCTCGGAGAAAGGTGAGGCCCTGGCACAGCCAGGATAGGGGTCAGGGGACCCTGAGTCCAAGAACAGCTCCCATCCCAGCAGCCCACCTGTGTACCAGGCCTGAGTGAGCAGCATGGTATCCTCGAATACCTGTCACCACGGTGGCACCACTGATCACAGCCCTGGCCCGTTGGGCACCTCAAGCTGCACGTGGGTGGTCACTGGTTCTGGCATCTGGGGCATTTAGGTGTGTGTTTACAGTAACGAGGCAGTGGTGGTCACACCAGATCAGGTGTCCTGATGCTACTCTGGCCACACTTGCTCTCTGGCCTCATCCTAACACCCACCTTGGGCCAAGCGGGCAGCCCACGCGCCGAGTGCTTGGAGGCCAGACCCCAAGCTCGTGTACGTTACCGCTGGTCCCTCCCCACGGTCCTGCCCGACATGGGACAGCTTGCCTTTCTGCCACGGAGGAGGAAGCCAGCTGAGTCAGCTGGTGGGGCCCCTGCTTTGTAGACAAGGGAACAGAGGCTCAGGAGTGGACCCACTTGCCCAGGTCACTCAAAGATACCATGGCTAAGGATTGGAACCCAGAAGGTCCGACTCCAGAACTCAGCGTGTCCCAAGCTCTCCTGAGTGGCTCTTTAAGCAGCGCACTGGTGTGAATCTAAGGGAAGGCCAAGTCCAGCCCTAGCACCTCCCGGATGGGGGCATGGGGTCTATCGGACGCCCCTGGCGCACGGCCTGAGTGGAAGCAACAGAGGGTCCTGAGAGGAGTCACATTAAGCAGGGTTGTCAAGGGCCAGGCAGGAAGGAAGGTGCTTCTGGGTAGGGCCAGGCCAGGCGGCTTCTGGAACTTCCCAACCAACTCTCGGAGGACTCAGTCCCCAGTTTCATGTGTACTGTTGGTCCTAGGTCTCCCTCTGTCCCAGCCCCCGGTACTAGGCCCTTCCAGGGCCCAGGGATTGTAGGCAGTTAGCCCGGAGGGGACAGCGAGGACTATTGATTGACAAACGAAGCTCCTCTAACAAGACAGCTGCAACAAAAGCCAGGCGGAGACTGGTTTCCCTCCCACCCAAGACAGTGCAGGGTGGGCGTCTGAGCCCAGCCCAGCCAGCACGAAAGAGGAAGTAGAGAAAGAGGACATGGGTGAGTTGGGAGCCTTGTCAGAGTGTGCAGGGAGCCTGGCCTCAGGAAAGCAGGATTTCAGATGGGCCACGGGGGCAGAGATTCGTTAGGTGATGAGCCGGCGTTGGGGACCTTGCACGAGGTGGGGGAGTGGCGTAGCTGAGGTCGGGCTGCCTGGGTTCTCGGTCTCCCCATCTACATCTGAGGGTTCACTGGATGTTCACTGTGGAATGCCCAACGCAGGGCTGGGTGCCCGGTGGGGCTCAGGTCGGTGTACGCAGGTTGTCATCTGGGCAGCAGTTGGGACAGGTGGGGATGTGGGGCCTCCAGGGAGGAAAAACCATCCAGTGCTCCAGTCCCAGTGTTGGGGACTCCAAGCCTGGGCAGCTGAACCCCGTCCCTGACCCTGCATGTCTGCCCACAGGCCGACCATGCGAGTGGCGCTCCATCGACGGCAGTATTGCCCTGCCCCTGGCCCAGGGCTCCCCGAAGGCGCTGGCTCTGGAGCATGCGCTGTGCCTCACAGGCGACGGCCTGGCCCACCTGCAGGCATCCGACCCCCAGCAGCTGCTCCGCCTCGTCCCCCACGTGCAGGTGTTCGCCCGAGTGGCCCCCAAGCAGAAGGTGCGTGCAGGGACCTGGTTGGGGGGCACAGAGTCCGGACACACAGCCTCTGCTCAGCTCGTCTCTGCCCACACAGGAGTTCGTCATCACCAGCCTGAAGGAGCTAGGTTACGTGACCCTCATGTGCGGGGACGGCACCAACGACGTGGGCGCCCTGAAGCACGCTGACGTGGGTGAGCCCCGTGGCCTGGGGGTGGCTGCTTCCTCCTCAGACCTGGTGTTAAGGGACACGTCACTGAGCCAGAGAGACAGACCCAGCTCTGCCTGTACAGGGACAGTCACGGCCATCCATTCCTGTGAGGGAGCAGCTCAGAGGGGGCAAGGGCAGGGCATCCTAGGGGCTTCGAGGGCAGGAAGGGGCGTGAGCGTCCCAGGAATAGAGGTGGAGGCCAGAGGCCGGGAGACAGGGCTCAGGTGGGGAAAGTGACTCCAAAGACCAGGAGCTGAAGAGCTTGCCGCGGGGTCACAGCCTCGGGGCTATCGTGAAGAAGACACAGGTGTTAGATTGAACTTTAAAGATCAACCTAATGTGGTTTTTGTGCTTTTCCAATATTTATCTGCTTCGTCTAGTCAAGCGTTTATGAAGTATCATTTATCTTCTAGAATTATGTTCCTTGGCAGTCCATTTCTTTGGAAACCAGCTTAGTTTTGACCCGTCTGAGTATCAGTGTGTTTCTCATTTGATTTGCATGGGAGGGTTGTCGGTTTGTTTTGTTAAGTAGCTTGGAAAGCAGAATGGATGCTCTCTGGGGTCTCCTCAGGAGGTCTGGGGACTGCTCTGCACGAGGACAAGCTGCAGAGCTTGGTGTACCCCTGCGTGGAGCCTGCTCCCAGTCCTGACACCCCCCACCCCCCAGGTGTGGCGCTCCTGGCCAATGCCCCCGAGCGGGTTGTTGAGCGGCGACGGCGGCCCCGGGACAGCCCAACCCTGAACAACAGTGGCATCAGGGCCACCTCCAGGACAGCCAAGAAGTCGGGGCTCCCGCCCCCTGAGGAGCAGCCAGCCTCACAGAAGGTGAGTCTCAAGAGGGGATCCATCGGTGCCCTCCTCTTGGCCAGGGCTCACCCCACCCCCACCCCCACAGGACCGCCTGAGCCAGGTGCTTCGCGATCTTGAGGACGAGAGCACGCCCATTGTGAAGCTGGGGGACGCCAGCATCGCCGCGCCCTTTACCTCCAAGCTCTCGTCCATCCAGTGCAGTGAGTCCCACCCTGCCCCTGATCCCCCACCCGCCCTGCCTAGCACCCTGCACCCACACTCGCCTCCTCTCACCCCTCAGTCTGCCACGTGATCAAGCAAGGCCGCTGCACACTGGTGACCACGCTGCAGATGTTCAAGATCCTAGCGCTCAACGCCCTCATCCTGGCCTACAGCCAGAGCGTCCTCTACCTGGAGGGAGTCAAGTTCAGCGACTTCCAGGCTACCTTACAGGGGCTGCTGCTGGCCGGCTGCTTCCTCTTCATCTCCCGTTCCAAGGTGGGCCACAGAGGTGCTGGGAGGCCAGGGATGTGTGGGCCAGCCAGGGCCAGGCTGCTACAGGCATGAGAACTGTCATCCCCAAGTACAGACAGGGGTCCAGGGCCTAGAGGTGGGGGCCGTGCCCAGGATGGCATAGGAAGTGCCGGCAGGACAGTGCAGACCAAGGTTCCCAGACACCTCTGAGGTGCACAGCTTGAGGTCCCACCCTGTCCATGGGCAGAGGTCTCGAGTGGGCCACACAGAGCCCCATAGGCAAGGAGGGGACAGACGGATACAATTATTCAAAAGGATAAAAACCCTGAGTGGGCAAGGGCTATAGGGGTTTGGCCTGGCGGACAGCCAGGGAGGCTCACGCGGCACTGACGCTCAGGCCAGCGCATGAAGAACAAGGCCCCAAACAGGCGTGGGCCAGGGCAGGGAGGCCCCACTGGCCAGAGAGGGTAAGTGCTGGGCTGGCTGCCCCAGGAGTGGCCCCGCGGGCGCCAGGGAAGGCTTTGGTTTGCGACAGTGCAACAGGAACAGGGAGGATTTGCAACAGGGAGAGTGGGATCTGCTTCATGATTTTAAGACCCTGTGGCTGCCGAGGAGACTGTAGACAGCAAGGCCCAGGCCAGGAAAGAGGCCCTGGGATGGGAGGGTTGAGGGGCGGGCAGGGATCTGGGGACTGGTGTCGACCCGAGACCACCAGGGTTTGGAGGCCGCTCTCTGCATGAGGCTTCCAAGGAGCCAGGGTTATTACTGCCTGCTGAGTGGGTAGGGCAGCCCCCTGGGTGAGCCAGGCCCTGACCTCCCATCCCTGGCCCTGCAGCCCCTCAAGACCCTCTCCCGAGAGCGTCCCCTACCCAACATCTTCAACCTGTACACGATCCTTACCGTGATGTTCCAGTTCTTCGTGCACTTCCTGAGCCTTGTCTACCTGTACAGGGAGGCCCAGGCCCGGAGCCCTGAGAAGTGAGTGCCGCCCCCAGAGGAGGTAATGCCTCTGCAGTCAGGAATGGCAGGAGGATGAATGTGCAGACACTGACAGAAGAGCCTTTGGGTCATCTGGGGCCGGGGAGGGACACAAGTCCAGGCCAGTGTGGTCAGCCAAGCAGGGCCCTGGCTCTGTGCCAGGGCAGCAGGGAGCCATAGAGGGTGTGTGAGCAGGAGAGGAAGCCCTGACCCCCCCCTCATCCTTGCAGGCAAGAGCAGTTTGTGGACCTGTACAAGGAGTTTGAGCCAAGCCTGGTCAACAGCACCGTGTACATCATGGCCATGGCCATGCAGATGGCCACCTTTGCCATCAACTACAAGGTGAGGCCTGCCTCCCCCTGCCCCAGGCATGCCCCGCCTGCCCACCCAGCACCCACCACATGCAGCCAGCTGTCCATCCCTGCAGGGCCCGCCCTTCATGGAGAGCCTTCCCGAGAACAAGCCCCTGGTGTGGAGCCTGGTGGTGTCACTCCTGGCTATCGTCGGCCTGCTCCTCGGCTCCTCGCCCGACTTCAACAGCCAGTTTGGCCTCGTGGACATCCCTGTGGAGGTGGGTGGCCCTGAGGCCACTGGGGCTCGGCTTGGGCTAGCTGTGGGTCTCTGGCTCACTGTCCTCCCTGCCCTGACAGTTCAAGCTGGTCATCGCCCAGGTCCTGCTCCTGGACTTCTGCCTGGCGCTCCTGGCTGACCGCGCCCTGCAGTTCTTCCTGGGGACCCCGAAGCTGAAAGTGCCTTCCTGAGACGGCAGTGCTGGCATCCACTGTTTACCCTGGCTGCCGCCAGGCAGGAACTTGCCAGGGCCCCAGGAGGGAACACTGCCCCCCACCCCCTACAGTAAGGCCATCCAGCCTTGCCCTTGGAAGACTGAGCTGGGACCCCCACAGCCCTCCACTGGCCTGGCTGGTAGAACCAGCCCTGGGCCAGCACCTTTGGTAAATAAAGAAGCATCTGAGATTTTAAGAAGCCCTGCCTCCACCTCTGTCTGTGCCATACCATGTTTACTGGGGGGCCACAGGGATCAGGTGGTCACTGAGGAAGGTCCCAGCACCCTCCCCACAGGCCCTGTGAGGTTGTTAATGAGGACACCCTCTGTAGCATGTTCAGCACTTGGGTGGGCCAAGCCCCCAGCCAGAGAACTCTATATTTTCTAGTGTGACAAACACTGAGTATTTCAGTGGTCTCAGTTTCACGTTGTAATAACTCAGGCACTTGAGAGAAGCCTTAGGATTGGTGGTATTTTCCCTTTCCCATAATGGCTAAAATGACAGCGTGCCTTCTCTCAGTGGTGTCTTACAAGGAATATGGTCCACATCATTACAAATACCTACTTAGGTCACACTCTTTGGCGTCCTAGGCTGCGGTACCATCTCACATCACGGACAGGCAGCAGGTCCAGGGACCTGACTCTGGCTGGGGTCTCAATAGCCAGGATGTGACCCAGAAGCTTGGCTCAGCCCTTGTACCGATAGATGGTGTTGTTCCTTTCAAAGGACTCGTCACAATTCAGGAATGGCAGAGGAGCCAGCATGAGAGCCTTGCCTCTAAAACCTTTCAGAAGCAAAGTTATAAACATACTTCCAAGTATTTCCAGCCACACATTCCACTGAGTGCCGGCCGTGGGCACCTCTTCATAACTGACAAGCTGCTCGTGGCAACTCCCAGGCCAGGGCTTCCAGACAAGCCTCCCACTCCCCACCCTTTACCCTCAGCTGCTTCATGGTCCATCTGGCAGAGTGTGGCCAGTGGCCTGAGGAAGTCCCTGGGAACAGGAGCAAGGTCAAGGCAGAGGAATGGGCCGCCAGGGCCGGTCTCAGGAGAGGAAGAGACATCAGACCCCACAGCAGGAGGGCCCTGCAGTCATGAATATTGGAGAGGCACTGACTCCCTGAGATAGAGATGATTCTCAGGGGACCTAGGACAGTGGACCTCTCTGTCTCCCTCATGCCTAAAAGGGGCACTCTCTAGCTGTGCTGTAATTGGGGTCTCAAGAACCTGTCACTGGGGGCTCCCCAGGCCAGAGGTGTCGGACTTAAGAGCGTTACAATTCAACTGGAATAGGCCAGGACTTCAGGCCTCCACCAGGGGGCACCATGGCTACGGTCGGGCCCGGATGGGTTGGGGTCCAAGAGACCCCTGGCACGCGGGTCACTGGGTCTTCATGGGGCGGAAGGTCCTCGGACAGGCGCCCGGGGCTGGACGGGCTCAGTGGGATTTGGGGCAGCAAAAAGATCTGAGGAGAGAAAGCTTGGCCCAGATGGGTCCTAGGATGCCCAGGTCCGGGGCTCTGCGGCCCAGGGTGGTCGCTCAGGGGGCGGCGCTGGCCCCGCGCGCCCGCAGGGCTTCCGGGCTGTGGGGCGTGGCCGTCTGGCGGGGGCGTGGCCTCGGCTGGGCGGGGCGACGCGGAAACCGGGCAGCGGCCGCAGCGGCAGGAAATCGGGGCTGGGTCCCGCCGGCGCGCGACCCTGTCCCCATCCTGGTCCCCGGCGAGCGACACTCGGTCCTAGCCATGGATACAGCAGAGCCGGGTAGGGGTTCTGGGATTCGGGAGGGACCTCACCGGACCGTCCTCTCACCTCTTAAATTGCGGGGCTATATGCCTGTCCGTCTCCATCTGGAGAGCCGGGAAAGGAGTCCCTGAATGGGAAGGCTGCAAGGACCCCCCATTGTGGGGACTCTCATACCAGGAGGGGCCTGCGACACCAGCCCCTGACCCCCCCATCCCCCTTCCTATCCCTTAACCCAGTCGCCTGGGGGAGGGGGCCCAGGAAGGGGAAGTGGCCGCTTCTGCTTCTGATTTTTGTGATGGGGGCAGGGTGTCAAGACCGCTGAGGGAGAGGGCAACACGGTAGGGTCCCCACAGGGCTCCTCCATAGCCCGGGAAGCAGGCAGTGCTGATCTGGGGCCCCTAGAAGAGGGGGCGGGGGCGGCAGCAGAAATGTGGCAAGGTCCGACTTGTGCTTCCGGCTGTCTTTGTGTCTGTAGTGTATGTGGAGTGTCATTCTGTCTTTATGTCCCTCGTGGTTTCAGTCCCTCCATGTGTGTTTCTGCCTCAGGCTCTGTTCCCTTCTGTCCCATGTGTATTTCCATCTGTCTGGCCTGGGGTCCACGTGGTTCCATTGTCAAGCGGGGTCTCTTTCTCTCGACAGTGTGGCAGCATCTGGGGCATCTGTTTTGTTGCTTGCTTCTGGGTCCACGTAGACCTCTGAGCAGCTGTCTCTGTTTGGTAGTGTGTGCGTCCATCTGCCTGCCCAGAGTTGGCCCCACCCAAGCCCACTCTCCCTCCATCCCACACTCCTCTCTCGCTCTCTCTCTCTCTCTCTCTCTCTCTCTCTCTCTTTCTCTCTCTCTCTCTCCCCCACTCCCCAGCCCCACCTTCCTTTCCTAATGAGACTGGTTGTGGTGCAGTGGGTAGAGGGAGGCAGTGGTTGGCCCATGTCTTACACTCCCTTCCCCTAGGTTTTCCCCCAGCTCCCGAGGGCAGGAAGAGGTACAGTGACATTTTCCGGAGCCTGGACAACCTTGAAATCTCACTGGGGAACGTGTGAGTCTGAGCCTGGATCACCCCCAAATCCTGCCAGGATCTGCCAAATCCCTAACCATTTAGGTGCCCTGAAGCCTCACTTGGAACCTGCAACATCCGGACCAACTTACCTAATAATCTGAGAAGTCTAGGATGGAACCCTCCAAGACACCTGTATATCCCAAAAGTCACCCCCAAAATCTACTAGAAATCCCCAAAGTGGTCCTAGGACCCCACATATCTTTCTTGTGACCCCTTCTCACCAAAACATTTGAGATCCCTCTATAATATATTGTCACTCTATGAACCCCAAAGTTACCTGGGGCCCTTCAAATGCTATCTCAAGTCCCAGTAAGAAAACTGACCTGGTTCCCTCAAAACCCCATTCTTCAGACCTCCCAGACACAAGAGATGCCACAGAGATGATGTCCAGGACTATCCCCCTAACTGCCCCAGGGTCCCTAGCAGCCCTCAGCAGGACAGACTGTGTGGAGGGTGGCATCCTGACACCCTTACCCCCCAGGACCCTTGAGATGCTGGCTGGAGACCCTGCACTCCCAGGAGACTCAGAGCCTAACAAGGCCCCCCCAGCTGCTGTGGTGAGTGAGGAATGGGGGGACAGGGAGGAGGGCCCCAGGAAGAGGGGCATCAGGGAGGCAAGCCCCCTGCCCTGTCTGCTGCTGAATGCCATCTCCCTCCCCACCAGAACAGTGAAGCCAGCTGTTGGAGCAGCCCCTCCCCAGAGGGTCCTGTACCCCTCACAGGTAGGGGCCTTTGAGACCAGGACTATGGGGGCAGAAGAGAGTCCTTCCTTCAGCAAGTCACCGTTGACCACCGGTTCCATGCCAGGCATTGTCAGGTGCCAGGAACACGGCAGTGCACACAATAGATCCCAGCCCCTGCACTCAGGGAGCCCCCAGTCTAGGTAGAGAATGTGTAAAATTGCAACCAGGACAAATGATCCCACACGGATGTTTGGGGAGCTATGAGGGTGTAGGACAGGGGCTACTCACTGGCCTGGTCTGGGGCCTCAGAGAAGGCTCCCACGGGAGGATAGGGTTCAGAAACCAGGGGTCCACCCATCTGCCCCAGGGGAGGAACTGGACTTGCGGCTCATTCGGACCAAGGGGGGTGTGGATGCAGCCCTGGAATATGCCAAGACCTGGACCCGCTATGCCAAGGAGCTGCTGGCCTGGACAGAGAAGAGAGCCAGCTATGGTGAGGACGCCTTCTGCCCCTGCCCTCGGCCAGAGGCAGTGCCCAAACCCCAGCTGGACCCAGAACCCCTGCTCTTTCTTCCCCCAGAGCTGGAGTTTGCTAAAAGCATCATGAAGATCGCCGAAGCTGGCAAGCTGTCCATCCACCAGCAGGTAGCCATGACCAGGCCCCCAGAGAGCCCAAAGCCCCCAGAATCCCAGCCTTGCCCCCACAGATCCTCAGTGGCTTCCTACATTCTCCACCCACCCCCAGAGCCAGAGCCACATGCCTCTGCAATACATCTATACCCTGTTTCTGGAGCACGACCTCAACCTGGGAGCCCTGGCCATGGAGACAGTGGCCCAGCAGAAAAGAGACTACTACCAGGTAAGGGTGTGTATGTCCTTCACGTTCCCAATAACCAGGGAGGAAGGCATCACTGCCATCATCACCATTTTACTGATGAGGAAGCTGAGGTCCAGGGATGCTCAGAAACTTGCCCAAGGTTACCCAGCAGAGATTCAAACCCGGCTTCCTGTGCCATTGCAAAATCATCGCGCTTCTATTTGTTTGTGGGGAGTGGCAGGAGGTGCTGAGTGTTCTTAGGAGAAAGTCTCAGTGTCTCTGGGTCCAGGCAGAAAGAATGGGGTGGCCACTGAGGCTCTGGGTGGGGACACGGCGGGGGGCGAGGGGGGGACAGCCAAGTCTGAGTGAGAAGACCTTGGGGGAAGGGGGGTGGAGAATACAGACTCAGAAGAGGGTCCAGAGCAGGCAAGGCATGTGGGTACGAGAGTAGAAGGATGGGGGGAGTGCCTCTGGGGTGGCCCGGAGGCAGCATGCCCATCCCCCACCCTTGCCAGCCCCTCGCTGCCAAACGGACTGAGATTGAGAAGTGGCGGAAGGAGTTCAAGGAGCAGTGGGTGAAGGAGCAGAAGCGGATGGTGAGACCTCGAGTGGGTGGGGGGCGGGCTGAAGGAGGAGAGGCGGGGCGCTGACCTTCCTGCCACCACTCCCTAGAACGAGGCGGTGCAAGCGCTGCGGCGCGCCCAGCTCCAGTACGTGCAGCGCAGTGAGGACCTGCGGGCTCGCTCCCAGGGGTCCCCTGAGGATCCGGCCCCCCAGGCCTCGCCTGGACCCAGCAAGCAGCAGGAGCGGCGACGGCGCTCGCGAGAGGAGGCCCAAGCCAAGGTGGGGACCGGGCCACGAGCCCCTTCAGCGCTTCGGCGCCCCCCACTGCCCTCCGCTGTCTGCCCCATGTGCCCTCTGGCCTCGGTTTCCCCAGGCGCACGAAGCAGAGGCTCTGTACCAGGCCTGCGTCCGCGAGGCCAACGCGCGGCAGCAGGACCTGGAGACCGCCAAGCAGCGGATCGTGTCCCACGTGCGCAAGCTGGTGTTGCAGGGGGACGAAGTGCTGAGACGGGTGAGGCCCTTCCTCACAGCCGCCCTGCCCTCACCCCGTTTGGCCCCCGGCGGAGTCCCACTCCTAAGCCACGCTGGGGGCACCTGGTGCTCTGGGCACTAGGACTAGTCCTTTTCCCTCCACCGCCAGTTCTCACCCCAGACCTGACCGCACCTCGGCCTCAGCCCCACCCCCATGGAGTCCTGTCCGCAGGGTGATCCGGCCTTCACTCGTCCCGGGGCCAACTACCTTAGTCTCTAAGCCACCCCACTGCGACAGGCCCCGCCCACAAACCCTCGCCTCAATCCGGATCCGGTCTTTAAGGGTCAGGCCCCGCCCTAACTCTGGCTCCGCCCCCAGGCTCCCAGGCCCCGCCCCTCCTTGACCTGCTGTCTCCTCACCGCAGGTGACACTGGGCCTGTTCCAGCTAAGAGGGGCGCAGGCAGAGCGTGGCCCCCGTGCCTTCGCCGCCATGGCCGAGTGCTGCGAGCCCTTTGAGCCTGGCCAGCGCTACCAGGAGTTCGTGCGGGCGGTGCAGCCTGAGCCCCCGCCGCCCCCACCGCCCGCCTTCTCCTTCCAGGAGTTCATTCCCTCCGCGCACAGGTGGGCCGCCGGAGTGGGGGTCGGGAAGGAACCCCCGAGTCGCGATGCCAGGCTGTTGGCACCATGGGGATGGGTACTCGAGGTCAGAGAACTCAAAACCTCTGGAATTTTATTGCTCTCGAGGTGTTCTGGGAGTTGGAGGGGTTGTCCCTTTCCTGGGCGGGACAGGATTTTGGGACTATTGCATTCAAGGGGCCACGATTTCCCGGCGCAGCACCTGTAATTCCAACCCTTTTGGAGGCGGAGGTGGGAGGATGGCTTGAGGCCGGGTGTTGGACACCAGCCTGGGTAACATAGCGAGACCTCATCTCTACAAAAAATTTGTAAAATGAGTGGGGCCTGGTGGCATGCATCTATAGTCCTAGTTACTCCTGAGGGAGGCTGAGACAGGAGGATCCCTTGAGCCTAGGATTGAAGGCTGCAGTGAGCTATGATTGGGGCACTGCACTCCAGCCTGAGCGACAGAGTGAGACCCTGTCTCTAAAACAAGAAAAAAAAAGAAGAAAAAGGGGCCATGATGTTCATGGGCATCAAGGTTTGCAAACTCAAGTACTTGGAGTTGGGACCTAGACACAATGCCTGCGTGCCATCATTCCAGGCCAGTTTCCTAGGGATCAAGCCCTCAAGCCCCTGTCCTTTCAGCTCCCCTCTGGACACCAGAAAGAAACTCTCCGGGCCCCTACCTCCAAGGCTGGATGAGAGTTCAGCTGAGCCAGGCACTTGGGAGGACTCAGGCACGAGCTGGCAGGGTAAGTGCAGTGAGGGCCGGGTGGGGACGGTACCAGGGCAAGGGGCCGTCCTTATTGACCTGTCACCACCTAGGGACTCCAGGCCCCACTCCAGGCAGTGATGTCGACAGCATGGGCGGCGGCAGTGAGTCTCGGTCTGTGGACTCTCCCACTTCCAGCCCAGGTGGGGATAGGACCCAATCCTGACCCACAGCCCACCTCTGACCATCCTCCAGCGCCTAGCCAAGCTCTGATCCTCAATCTCTAACCTGTCCTTTGACGTCTGACCTGCCCCGCACCCCTGACCTGTTTCCTTAACCTCTGACCCATTTCTCTTGATCCAACTTCTGAACCACCCCCAAGTTGTTGACCCATTCTCCAACCCTTAAACACTGACCTGTCTGATCCCCCCTCCTGACCTCTGACTCCTTCCCTGTGGGCATCTGTGAGTAGTTCTGGAAGCCCTGGATCTCCCATGACCCCTGTGACCCCCAACCTCTGTGACTCTCTGACCCCAGGCCCTGACACACGGCGGCTGCTGAAAGTTTCATCCATAGGCACCGAGTCCTCAGATGACTTTGAGGAGCGAGATGCTGGTGAGGCTGGAAGCAGGTGGGGCAGGATGGGACGCGAGGTGGACCAGGCACCCCTGACCCTGTCTCCCTGCAGACCTGGGAGACGGGCTGGAGAACGGGCTGGGCAGCCCCTTGAGGAAGTGGACGCTGTCCAGCGCCGCTCAGACCCACCGGCTGCGGCGGCTGCGGGGCCCAGCCAAGTGCCGAGAGTGTGAAGCCTTCATGGTCAGCGGGACCGAGTGTGAGGAGGTGTGACCTCGGCTGATGACCCAATGACCTCTGCTGACCCCAATCACCTCCCTGACCTGAGATCCCTACAACCTTCCTGCCCGTGAACTTACCCTGATCTGATGATCTCCTATAATCCCTCATTCCCCTAGGAGCCCCATGACCTTCTCTTCCCCCACTGGCCCCCAATGACCTTCCTGACCCTGTGACCTTCCCGCAGTGCTTTCTGACCTGCCACAAGCGCTGCCTTGAGACTCTGCTGATCCTCTGTGGACACAAGCGGCTCCCCGCCCGGACACCCCTCTTTGGGGTCGACTTCCTGCAACTGCCCAGGGACTTCCCAGAAGAGGTTCCCTTTGTGGTCACCAGGTGCACGGCCGAGATAGAACACCGCGCCCTGGGTGTGCAGGTGCCACCTTGACCCCTGACTGTCCCCAGAAGTGACCCAACCCTGTCATGGCTGGATCATGAGCCAGGTGTCCCTTTCGTGCTCTTGCTCTGCAGGGCATTTACCGGGTCAGCGGCTCCCGGGTCCGGGTGGAGCGGCTGTGCCAGGCTTTTGAGAACGGCCGCGCATTGGTGGAGCTGTCAGGGAACTCGCCTCACGATGTCTCGAGTGTCCTCAAGCGATTTCTCCAGGAGGTGGGTGCTCAGGGGATTGTGGGGGGACTCAGGCTGAGGACCCTCCGCAGCCTACCCACGCTCCTGTCACCCCCACCCATTCCACCCCCAGCTCACCGACCCCGTGATCCCCTTCCACCTCTACGACGCCTTCATCTCTCTGGCTAAGACCCTGCATGCAGACCCTGGGGACAACCCCGGGACCCCCAGCCCCAGCCCTGAGGTTATCTGCTCGCTGAAGACCCTCTTGGTACAGCTGCCTGACTCTAACTACAACACCCTGCGCCACCTGGTGGCCCATCTGTTCAGGTGTGCACGGGTCCCTGAGCCTTGAGATGTGACCCCCTTCCCTTGACATGTGACTACTGACCTGCAGCTGACCCCTGACACTGATCTCTGACCTTTGACATGTGTTTTCTGAACTCTGAACCTTAACATGTGACTGGTAACTTTGGGTACTGACCCCTGACCCCCAACTCTGGGCATGTGGCTGGTGGTCTCAAACAGTGATCAAGACAACTTAGCCATCACATGGGCGAGTCACTGCTAGGCTGGCCTGTGGGTCCTACGCTTACCCTCATCCCGTGCCTTGACCCTTCCCATACCATCTCCAGGGTGGCTGCACAGTTTGAGGAAAACAAGATGTCTGCCAACAATTTGGGCATTGTGTTTGGGCCAACACTGCTGCGGTCGCCGGATGGTCCGTGGGCAGCCGGCACCATCCCTGTCACCTGCCTGCTGGACTCGGGGCACCAGGCCCAGCTTGTGGAATTCCTCATTGTGCACTACGAGCAGATCTTCGGGATGGATGAGCTGCCCCTGGCCACTGAGCCCCCGCCCCGAGACTCTAGCCCCCAGCTGCTACCGCCACATCCTGGCCCAGACCCCCAGCTCCCAGCCCTAGCCTTGGACCCCAACCCAGACCCCAAGCCCCAGATTGCCCTGGAGAAGCATGCCGAGGCTACGCCCCCCGAGGTAGGAACCCGCTGGGCCCAGGGACGTGAAGAGGGCCTTCGCTCTGTTTAATTCTGTCACTCTCTGCCTTGTCTTCCTTCCTTCCTTTCCCTTTAAAATCTCTTTCATTCTCTTCCTCTCTTCCTCCTCATTTAACCCGCACTCATTCTGGAAGGAATAGTGAGGGATGGAGTGGTCGGCAATGATGGATCACAGCAGGAGACAACCCCGCAGAGGTACTAACGTGGGTGACCATTCATTCCTTCCACAGAATATGTACTGAACACTTACTGTATGCCAAGGATTGTTCTGGGCATTGCAGATACACCAATGAGCTAAATATTCAAAGACTCCATCCTCTCAGCGCCTACTTTGCAGTGGGGAAAGATCAACAATAAACAAAAACTATCATACAAAGTCAGTTACGTAGGACGTTACGAAGTGACAGTGATGAGTGTAATAGCGGACAGAAAGGGTCTGGTGAGGGACGGGACAGCAGGAGCACCAAGGTAAGAGGTGGAGGAGCAGTTTGTAGCAGTAAGTAGGATGGTGCGGGCAGGTCTCACAGAGAAGGTGGATTTGCACAAAGGCTGGAAGGATGTAAGGGAGGAACAAGCCATGTAGACATGTGGGGAAGGGTGTTTTGGGCAAAGGGAACAGCCAGTGCAAAAGCTGTGTGGTAGAAGCATGCCTGGTGTTCAGGACACAGCCCTATCCTGTAAGGAATTAAGGGAAGGTGGTGGGAAGTAAGGCCAAAGAGGAGTGGCCCCAGATGGCTTTGCCAGCTGCCACTGACCTCGCACCTGCTATGCAAGGGGCACAGACCATCGATGGACACCCACCTACTATGCACGGGGTCCTATATAGGCTTCCTGTCATCCTCTCCACAGTCCTGATAGGCCCTGAGTGGTTAAGTGACCCTAAAAGGGGAGCCATTGCAGGTGAATCTTTAACAGAGCTCATCCATCAGGATCCAGAGCTCAGCTGGGAACCAGGGAGATGGCAGCAGCGGCCAGACCAATCCACGCCCAAGGCCTGTGCTCCTAGTATCCTGCTACACCTGCCACTCCTGAGAACAGGGACATGCCCCATAGCAGCCCAGAGCTGGGAAGAGCTGCCAGTGAGCTGTGGGTCTCTGAGAGCTGGAATGGTTCATAAAGTGAAAAGCAAGAACTCAACGTAGAAAGAACTCGAGCTGCTATTACCATTTAGCTAAAGGCAGAACAGTGAACATACACAGATATACTAGAAAGCAGAAGTAAGCTTGATGTGGTTGCAGAGAGCAGCGTAAGACGATAGTTCAGAGGCACTGCCTAGTTCTAATGTGGAGCTGAGCTACTCCCTGAATTTTTGTTTGCTTTTTTTCCTAGAGACAGGGTCTCACTTTGTTGCCCGGGCAGGAGTGCAGTGGCATGATCATAGCTCACTGCAACGTTGAACTCCTGGGCTCAAGCGATCCTCCTGCCTCAGCCTCCGGAGTAGCTGGGACTGCAGGTGTGCACCACCATGCTTGGCTAATTTTTGTATTTTTTTGTAGAGATGGGGTCTCACTATGTTGCTCAGGCTGTTCTCAAACTCCTGGCCTCAAGCAATCCTCCCTCCTCAGCCTCCCAAAGTGCTGGAATTACAGGCGTGAGCCACCCCACCCAGCCAAGCAGTACATTTTTAAGGGCATCTTCTATCCCCACAATTGCAAAGGAATTTTTGAAAATCCAGGAACAAGCCCTCAGCTCTCCAAGAGTCTCAAAGAACTGAGATTTTACTGTTAGGAGTCTCGTTTTTGGGTTTCTCCTGCAGATTCCAACTCCACAGGGTGACCAGAGAGTGGAAGAGGCCGAAGACACCAAAGATGGGGAAGGGGAAGGTGAGTTTGTTGTGGAGTGGCTCAGAAGTTCTAGGGGTGCCCCTGCCCCAGGGTGGCTTAGCTGAGAGATGACTCCTGGGGGGATGTCCAGAGGACTTGGGGGTGCTGAGCATTGACCACCCCACCCCACAGCCTCCAGCCAAGGCCCTGAGGACTTACTCCTGGGGACACAGTCTCGTGGCCACTTCAGCCGCCAGCCAGTGAAGTATCCCCGGGGGGGCGTGCGGCCTGTCACCCACCAGCTGTCCAGCTTGGCCCTGGTGGCTTCCAAGCTGTGCGAAGAGACCCCAGTCACATCAGTACCCAGAGGGAGTTTGCGGGGGCGGGGGCCTGGCCCTGCCGCTGCCTCCCGTGAGGGCAGCCCCTTGCGCCGAGCCCCGCTGCCTAAGCATTTTGAGATCACCCAGGAGACAGCCCGGCTACTCTCCAAACTGGACAGTGAGGCTGTACCTAAGGCCACCTGCTTCCCAGAGCCCCAGCCCGAGGAAGCCGAGGACCATCTCTGACCACCCTACCACCCTGACTAAGGAAGAGGCCCAGGGCTGAGAAGATGGACCCGTGTCTCCCCAGCTCCCCCCACTTGGTGGCCAAACATTGGGCCAGGAGTTCAATGTTGGGGGGTTCAGAGAATTCCTCTAACGAAAGACTACATGGCTTGAAGGAGGCCTAAAACCTTTGTGGGGGCAGTGTCCCAGCATCTCCCCCCAGACACAGTTCACTGCCAAGCAGCAGGGCTGCTCAGGCTCAGAGGTCACTCAGAGTCAATACTCAGGGTCAATACAGGTCATGAGATCCTTGGGGTCCACCTTCGTCTCCTACTCCTGGACAGGGGTGCCTATTGCTACTTTAGTTGTGGTCACTCCCTCATCCCTGCCTGCCTCCTTCACTGATTCCAAGTGACTTGTTCCTGGAGGAGGTGGACGGCCCAGACTACATCCTGGTGGTGCCCGGGGTCTGGGGTCTGATGGCCTCTGAATAAACTGTGTCCTGTGTACCCTTGTATGTCTGTCTTTGCAGGGGGTGGGGGGGCTTGCAGGGGAGAGACACCAGTGAGGGCACTACCCTTTGCCCCCATTTTACCGACCACGCAAACCGAGGCCCCATTCCTTTATCCCCAAACTCCCCGGGAGCACCAACAGGCAATTGGGGCTGAGTCATGCCTGCCCAGCCCTCCCGGAGCTCCGCGTCCCAGACTGGTCCCTGCGCAAACAAATACAGTATAACAAAGTGCAGATAACCGGGACAATGGGGCTGTGTGCTCTGGATCGTGGGAGCCCAGGGACGACGCGAAGATGAGAGGAAGCTGCAGGGCAGGGCAGTCCCGGGGTGAGGGGCGCCAGGGCGGGATTGCAAAAAACTTGAGTGCGCCCGACGGTCAGCTGGGGCCGCGGGTCCGCGAGCAAGAAAAGCCGAGGCTGGGCCGGGGTCCCGGCGGTGGGAGCCAAGTCGGATCAGGGCGTGGCTTGTAGCTCGGCGGCCGATTGGACGCGAGGGAGAGAGCGGGGTGGGGTTGGGAGGGTGGGGGGCACGGACCCGGAGACCACCCGGAGCTGCGGCCCGGCGGCGTGAGGTCGCGGCGGGAATCCTCAGGTCGTTGAGTGACTCGGCCCCGAAGGCTCGAAACTGCAGGCTCGTAAGGTGTGCAGGGACCGGGGTGGGGGTCCCGCGCCGGAAATGGAGAGGGGCGACCGAGGGGCGGCGAAGCGAGGAGGAAATAGGGGGGCTGCGGTTCCGGGCGACCCCGCCCCCGGCGCGGCCGCGGAGGCGGGGCTTCCCCAGGTGGCGGGAGCGGGGCGGGGCACCCCCAGGTGGTGGGGGCGGGGCGCCAGGGCCCGGCCGCGGGGGAGGGACCCCGCCTCCCGCGCCCTCTCGGCAGCCCGCGCCGGGCACAGCCGGACGCTCCTCGGCTCTCGCTGCCGGGCCATGGGCCTCTGGCCCGTCCCGATCCCCCGCGAGCCCGACCGGTCTGCGGCGTGACGGGCGGCCCAGGTGAGGCCAGCACGGGCGGGAGGCGGGTGGGCACGGGTCCAGGGGAGGTCCCGGCACGTGCCAGCGGGACTGGGGCGCCACCCCTTGCTCCGTTACCCCTACCCACTCCCCAGCCTGGGGGCGTCTGGAGGCCCGGCCGGCCGCGGCCTCCGGGACCCCACTGTCTTTGTCCCGGAGTCCGCCAGGGTCCTCGTCCCAACCGGAACGGCTCGGTGCCCCGCCCGTTTCGAAAGCACTCGCGCCCAAATCCTGCCGCCCAGCTTCTGAGGCTGCTGTCTGCACACTCTAGTCGGCCGGTCGCCTCCACGCCCAAGCACCGCCCACCCACCCGCAGGGTCCCAGCAAGTGACCTCGCCCTTGTGCACACACGCTCCCCGTCGCTGCAACCTGCACTGACCCCAGCACCAAACTGACCCTCCCTCATCTCGTCCCGCACAGCTCACCCCTTTGTCCTGCCCTAACTCTCCTTAATCCCCAGGCCCACCGGGTCACAGATTGGTGGCATGTGTGCCGGAATTGGACTGTACATGGGTTTTGTTTCGCTTCTCTAGGTTAACAAAACAAGGCATCAACTTGGCTGATAGCTTTCATAAAGGTCTTATTAGTAGGTAAGGAACAATTGTTCCCCTGCCCCCACCCCATGGAGCTTGCTTTTTCCAGATCACCATGGTCCACTTTGCTCCGGGACGCTGAGTTTGAGACCCTTGCCCTGTCTGTCCTGACCCTCCTCTCTGGCTGCTGCCCTCTCCTGTGTCTTTCCAACAGGGCCACATTTACTGATCTCTCTCTGTGCCCCCAGATGGTCACTATGGGCCGGTGCTACTACAACCAGACCATTGGCTTCTTCTACAACAACAGTGGCAAAGAGCTTAGCTCTCACTGGCGGCCCAAGGATGTGACTGTGGTGGCCCTGGGGCTGACTGTCAGTGTGCTGGTGTTGCTGACCAACCTGCTGGTCATAGCAGCCATCGCCTCCAACCGCCGCTTCCACCAGCCCATTTACTACCTGCTGGGCAACCTGGCTGCCGCCGACCTCTTCGCCGGTGTGGCCTACCTCTTCCTCATGTTCCACACCGGTCCGCGCACCGCCCGGCTCTCACTTGAGGGCTGGTTTGTGCGGCAGGGCCTGCTGGACACAAGCCTGACGGCGTCCGTGGCCACACTGCTGGCCATCGCCGTAGAGCGGCACCGCAGCGTGATGGCCGTGCAGCTGCACAGCCGCCTGCCCCGTGGCCGTGTGGTCATGCTCATCGTGGGCGTGTGGGTGGCTGCGCTGGGCCTGGGGCTGCTGCCTGCCCACTCCTGGCACTGCCTCTGTGCCCTGGACCACTGTTCACGCATGGCCCCCCTGCTCAGCCGCTCCTACCTGGCCGTCTGGGCACTGTCCAGCTTGCTTGTCTTCCTGCTCATGGTGGCCGTCTACACCCGCATTTTCTTCTATGTGCGGCGGCGAGTGCAGCGCATGGCAGAGCACGTCAGCTGCCACCCTCGCTACCGAGAGACTACGCTCAGCCTGGTCAAGACCGTTGTCATCATCCTAGGTGAGCGGGGCCCTCCTCATCTCATCCAGGGCCACAGGAACGCCACCTCCCCTACCCCACCAAAGACCCTGGGAGACAATGAACAAAACAAGTGACCTGATAGTGACCTGATAGAGCATAATGGGAGGGGATGATTTGGATGAGGAATATTCTCCAAGGAGGTGACATCTGAGGAGAGACCTGAGTGCTGGTGAAAGGAAAAGAGAACATAGAAGGTGACAACCCTAAGGCAGGACCAGGCCAGAGCCTCCAAAGAGGAAAGGCTGGGCCTGTGAGCAGGAAGGGTCAGCAAGGCCCCAAGGGGCAAGGACAGGAGTCAGATTTTGTTCTGAGTTCTGTGGGAGGCCCTTAAGAGTTTTTAGCAGGAGTAATGTGGTTGCTAAGAGTTTTTGGCAGAAGTAATGTGGTCACTCTGGCTATTGGATGTACAGTGCACTGGGTGGGGGAGGTGGCAGGGACTCCCCCTCTGAGGCTACACCCAACCCTTCCAGAACGAGGACCAACCCTGCCCAGTGATTCCTTTCTCCCAACCAAGTAACCATCCCGTGGTGACCTCCTTTCCCTCACTGAACAAATCTCCATGTCAAAACGTCCAGGGCCCTGGCCACGGTATACCAGTTAGGAAAGGTGTCCCCTCTTAGCAGACTACACAGTTATTGCCCACGTTCTAGAGACTGCCCGAGCCCTGAGCTCAGAGCGGTAGGTGCCAGGCCTTCTGACACTTTGCCTTGCTCACCTCGGTCTCCATCCCACAGGGGCATTTGTGGTCTGCTGGACACCAGCCCAGGTGGTACTGCTCCTGGATGGTCTGGACTGCAAATCCTGCAACGTCCTGGCCGTAGAGAAGTATTTCCTACTCTTGGCCGAGGCCAATTCTCTGGTCAATGCTGTAGTGTACTCATGCCGAGATGCTGAGATGCGCCGCACCTTCCGCCGCCTCCTCTGCTGCGTGTGCCTCCGCCGGTCCACCCACACGTCTGCCCGCTCTGCATCCTCTGCCCAGGCAAGTGCCAGTACTCGCATCATGCTTCCTGAAAATGGCCACTCCCTGATGGACTCCACTCTTTAGCTACCTTGGACTTCAGTGGGATGCAGCAAGCACCACGTCTGCAGCCGCTGATGCGGCGCCTGGCTCAACCCAACCAGTGGGACGGACTTAAAGGCAGACCCCTGGTCTGGCCTTGGCACAGCACCACTGCCAGCCCTCCCCAGGCACACAGCTATGCCTACCCAGGGCACAGGAGTTTGGGGTCATCTCCAAGTGCTAGGGAAGTCAGGTGGGGTGCAGGAATCTGGCTGTCCAGTCATCTCAGGTTTGGGGTTTTATTAATGGACATTTTTTCTATTTTTACTTTATATCCCTGGTAAGCCCTGTGGACTGAACGGTTCCTCCTGTATGATGCCATGAGTGTTAAGGGTGGGAGAGACGAGGGCTGTCTCCGGCCATCACGCCCAGCGTGACAGGTTAACAAGGATGGACTGTGGACACACCATCTTTCTGAAGGTGATTCTTAAGCAGCACAAACTGAGGGGTGCTGAGCTGGGAAAGGTTTGTGGCCCCTGGCATCCTCCACGGGCTGGCCTGTCCCTGTCAGAATTGAGGGGTCCACAGGGAGGGCATGATATGAGGAGTAAACCTTTTCACTCTGAGGTCTCTAAAGCATTTTTTGTTATCAATTCAGTCTGTCTATCCCTGTGTCCGGAAATTGTCCACCTTGGCTCAGGCCTGGCAGGGAGCCTTCAACATGGCAGCTCTTTGGCCCTGTTTTCATTCCTCTTGAGTCTCTGGCTGGCCGTTACTCTGTCTGTCTTGGTGGGGTCTTGCATGGTCTCCTGCTTTCTCTGTTGTTTGTCTCCTCCTTCTGTTCCTGCCTCCATTGGGCCACCAGCCTGTCTGTCTTCCTCCTCTGGAGCCCAAGGTGGTCTCTGGCCCATATGAGCCCTCTTACTCCTGCCTGCCCTCTTGTCGAAGTCCAGATTGTTAAAGGTCATGTCCCCAGCCGTGTCTATCCCATTGCCTACCCTATGCCCTGTGTTCACACTGGGAGCCACAGATAGTGGGGTCCATGTAGCAGTATGCAGAACTTGAAAGCTGGCACACTGATAGCACTTTAGGTGCATTATTTAATCATCACTTGCATCCTATGACACAGATATTACACCTGTTTTTACGTGAGGATAGTGGCTCAGACAGGTTGCAATCTGGCCCACGGTTACACAGCTTGGAAAGGGCACAGAAATGCATTGAAAGTTCCCTGGGGAAAGGGCTTCAGATTCCCATAAAGCCCAGAGTTGGTCACAAGCTCACCCAGGCGCTTTCCTCACCTCACCCCACAGTCCCTAAAGCCTCAAATGTGCCAGCCCCATGATGAGCCCCCTCTCAGATGCCCCTGCCAGGCACAGTGTGGGCCAGGACCTGGGCTCTCTGCTCCCACGTCACCAGTAAGGAGAGAGGGTTGTGTTTTTACTTCAGTTTCCCATGCTGAGTAACAGCTGACATTTGACCCCGGTCTCTCATCAGAGGTCAAATCTGAAACCACTGAAGTATGCATTGCTGAAGGACCAAAAAACATCTGGGATCTTCTATATTAAATGGGTCTAGGTTTTCCTTTGGGAAAACTCTCCCTCTCTCCTCTATGAGGAGGCAAGAATGAACTGAGGTGTTGGGTACTTCTCCAAGGTCCAAGGTGGGCAGCATGGCTCCTAGGGCCTGGGGCCTAAATCCAGAGGTGATGACCGAGGCACACACCCATGAAAGATGCAGTCCCTGCCTCCATGGGGCTCAGAGCCTGTTAGGCAGACATGTCACTTTGAGTGCCAAAGCAGCAAACCAATTCCTATGGCATAGAGACCCCTGATGGCCTCCAAAGGCATCTGTGTCTGTGTCTCAGGTGCTCTAAGCTAGCTGCCTTGCATCAGCATCCTCCAGGTTCTAACCTGTACCCCTCAGGTCTCCTTTGGAATCTTGTCCCATTTCCTCTTGTCAATCTCTCCTTTTCACCAAGTGGCTTCAAGTTTTTGTCTCTGTTGGTCCGTGAAGCTTTCGTTGCCCTGCCTGCCAAGTTCTCTGAAGGACACGACCTTTCAGGCCTCCTGGGCAGTGCTGTACTAGATAGAGGCTGACCTCTTGTACAGGACACAGTGCTTCGTGGTCCCCATGCGTTCTATCACTTCCTGTTATCGAGGCCAAGCATCGGGTTTCCTTCAACAAGAAGCTTCCGGTTTGTTCATACATGCTGTCAATGTCATTCATTTCCAGTCCCTGCTGTCCCCTTTAGAGTCTCGCAACACTTCGAAATCCAGCCCCCCAGATGGTGTTTGAATTTCCTCTCCTGAATTTCGTTTCCAGCAGTAACGGAAAGAAGATGGGCTCTGTTCAGAAGGGTTTCCAGCCAGTCTGAGGATCCTGTACTGAGACTACATCTGGAATCTGTCCTCAGTATACAGGGTCTGGGAGGTCCCATGACTTTGGAGAAGGGATTCGAGTCCAGTCTGTGCCTTTTCTCTTGAACGAGGATCCTTCTCTACACACCATGAGTCCTAACAGCTAGAAACAAAGACCCGTGAGAATTCACTCCGACTTGGGGTGCACCACAGGGTGGGCACTCAGTAAACATCCTTCCTTCATTTGGTAGCCACATGCGGGCATTTTCTAGGCAGGGAACACTGTAGAAGGAGAATGGATAAACAAGCGAGGTCGCCCTTAAGCTGGACCTGGAAAGGTGACTGGAGTTGATTTCAGCAGAGGAGAAAGACACTCCGTTCTGACTTCCTTCCCGCCATCGCCACGAACAACTGCACCCCTCGGCCAGGTGAAAGGGGCGTGGAGAGCTCCAGGGGAAGAGCCAGCAGCCCCAGTGACCCACCTAATGGAGTGAGGCTGAGGGGAGCATTAGGGGACTGAGCAGGAGTCTGGGGCTCCGGGCTTCTGGACGTTAGTGGGCGGTGTTGATGGGGCTCTGAGATGAGTCTGGAGTGTTGAATGGGGCTCTGAGGGGTGTGGGGAGTTCTGAGGAGGAGGGAGTGGCTTGGAGGAAGAGTGGGGAGCTCTGAGAAGAAGCGGGGGCCCTGAGGAGGAACAGGACTCTGAGGAGATGCGAGAGACGCCGAAGGACGCGGGGGGCGGCGAGAGAGATGAGGTGGGGACATGGGCCCCTGAAACGCAAAGGTGCAGGCGCTGCTCTCGCGCGCGCTAGAAGAGAGTGGAGGAGAGACGCACCGTTGCCTTGGCAACCCCCAACTGCGCTCTAGGCCATTGAGGGGGCTGTTCCGGGCGTGTCCCGGAGGCGGTGCGCAGCTCCGGTTGGCTGACGGCGGCTGAGGGGCGGTCTATGGGCGGTGCCCGGCGGCGGTTGGCTGGCGGCGGCGGCTGGGGGCGGGGCCCAGGCGTGTGGGAGAGCTCGCGCGCGGCGCTGGGGCGGCGGCGGTTGGCTGAGGCGCCCTCCAGCGAGCGCTACTGGCCCGGGGGCTCCTCCTCCGCGCCTGCCCGGCCGCGCCGCCCATGGACGCCCCGCCGCGCCCCGCGCCACCGCCCCCCGCCCCGCGCAGCCCGCCGCCCGGGTCCCCCCCGGGTCCCGCCACGAGCGACGTCCTGCAGCAGATCATGGCCATCACTGACCAGAGCCTGGACGAAGCGCAGGCCAGGTATTGCCCGCGGGCTCGTCAGGGCCCCTTAGCCTGGCGCGGGGATGGGGGCGGCCGGGGGGAGAGGGGCGGGGAGGGACCGCGGGCTGACGGGGGCGCTCGAGGAGGCCTGGAGGGGGGTTGCGAGGACGAAGGATGTATGGGGTTAAAATGGCACGCAGTGGGCAGACCTTATGGGCCTAAACAGCGGGGTGAAGGTTTGGGGAGCTCGTCCCGGGCCGAGAGGGTTAGGAGTTTACGGGAGAGAGTGTGGGATGAGAGGTGGGCACACGCGGGACTTTTGAGGCGTGGTTGTTAATGGGACTTATGCGGGTGGGAAGTTTTGAGGGCAGATGATGGACCGTGAGTGGAGGAGATTGAGACTCGGGAATGTCAGTGTAGGAGACCGAAGAGTTGAGCCGGGGTGATTTGGTGTGGAACTTTCCAGAAAAGGGTCAGTGGGTGGGGGAGCTGACTAGCGACGGAGGACTCCTCTTTTCTGAATTCGGCAAGTAGATATTGAGGTCTTACTATATGTGCCTGACACTGAGCTGGGTACTGACATAGTGCCTGCTCTCAGGTTTATGGTTTGGGAGAGAAAAAGTAAGTAGCAAAAAATAAGTATAAGTTTTGATAAAAACTAAAAGGAAAGGAATCTGTGCTGTAGGAAGCCAGGTGGAGAAAAGCAGCTTTGGAGAGGAGACAGCACCTTCAGAGCTGTAGAAAGCGAAGCTTGGGAGAGAAAGTTCCCAGCTGGGGAAAAGAAGACAGAAGCCGGGGAGAGAAAGAGTTGAGTTTGAAGGGAGGCTGGAACCTGATCACCTGTGGCTTACAAGTCTCAGTAAGAAGTTTGGATTTTATTCCAGTTGCAATGGGCAAAACAAGGGGACTTTAAGCCCACCTGTCTGGTTTACCTCACCCATTTGTCAGCCAGCCAGGATTGCTAAAATCTGTTTCACAAGGCAGCCCACTGTGTTTGGGGCCCACTGGAGTTTTTTATTAGAACAAATGGAAAAGACTGAAGTCCTGGCCGGGCGCCGTGGCTCACGCCTATAATCCTAGCACTCTGGGAGGCCGAGGCAGGCGGATTGTTTGAGCTCAGGAGTTCGAGACCAGCCTGAGCAAGAGCAAGACCCCGTCTCTACTAAAAATAGAAAGAAATTAACTGGACAACTAAAAATGTATAGAAAAAATTAGGCGGGCATGGTGGCGCATGTCTGTAGTCCCAGCTACTCGGGAGGTTGAGGCAGGAGGATGGCTTGAGCCCAGGAGTTTGAGGTTGCTGTGAGCTAGGCTGACGCCACAGCACTCTAGCCCCGGCAAAAAGAGTAAGACTCTGTCTCAAAAAAAAAAAAAAAGACTGAAGTCCTTTTGGAGGCCTTGTTGAATGGGGCCTGTTTGGGGGTGAAAAATGGTCCCTGGGGGTGGAACTGAGGTCTGGTGGTGTGGACCATGCAGCCACTGGAGGGTACACTGGGGGATACAAAACCAGGTAAACAGCAGCCCCATGAAGGAAGAAGTAAAGGAAAAGGTGGATACAAGCATGCATTTGTTCATCAGTCTGTGCTTCTTGTGGAATGTTGACTCTTTCTGCGATTTCATAGCCTCTACCTGGAAAGTTAGGAGTCCTCCTTGCCCTCCAACTATTTCCATTCTACTTTTTTGTAATATTGTGCCAGGTGCTGGAAAAACTAAGATGGCTAAGATGTTCTCTGCCCTCTTGGAACTTATGGAGAAGTAGGGTGTGTGGAAGACTAGTTTATGAGTAGTGGTCATAACAGGAGTGTTCTGTGTAGAGGTAATTCCTGGCACAAAAGAGCTGGGCCAGGTGAGGGTGCCTTTCTGCGATGCCCTGTTAGGCTAGTCTGAGAGCAGGGACTTTGTTGTACTTCCCTTTGCATTCCCAGGGCTGTGCTCAATGCCTGGCAGCTAGCATTCAGTAAAGTTTCCTGGCACTGAGGAGATTCTGGAAGGATTAATAGGAGCTGGAGGAGGGCAAAGATGGGCTCTTCACACCCAGGAATGTCACCACAGAGGCAATGCTTTGGATGTGTCCTGGGAGCTGCCTGTGTGCCTTCCAGTCTGGGCAGGAACAGCTTAGCTGGTGAGCTCCACTCAGATGTGGCCTTCCTCAGGCATCTATGACCTAGCACAGCCCCAAGGCAGCTGCTTTTTCCTTGCAGCAATCGCTTGAGATTCTAGTGTGCCCTAGATAGGCTTTAGAATGGAATGCAGTCAGTCACCTCCTCCTTACCGTTTTCAAAGACAGCACTTTTTGTTTTATGTCTAAGAAATTAAATAGGGGGGCATTATTCATGCTTGATAATATAGCTGTTAAGTAGCTGGTTCCTGGTTCCTGGCTTCTTTCTGAGGTTGGAAGACCCCCGGAGCTTTTATTTTGAGACTTTGGAAGCTTCCAATCTTTCTCACTTCTTTGAACCTGGCTGTTAGATGAACTCAAGGCCCTAAAGGTCACCTGGGTTCAGACAACAGGTTTCAGTCCCCAAGTGGACCACTTACTCCACTCTGGAGAAAACACAGCTGGGTGGGTCTTTTCCTCACAGTAAACTCTGCAGCCTGGTAGATTATCAACCTGGGAGGGGAAGCAGATTTTTTCTCTCTTGATCAGCTGACCTAGTGAGGCTTTTGCAAGTCTTTCTGACTCTGCCCTCTTTCAACATGCCCACCATGCCTTTCGTAACCCCTGGAGTCAGTTCAGCTCAACTGTTTAGCAAGAAAGAATTTTTCATCTCAGATGTGAGGCCCCTCAACCTGTTTCATCACCAGAAGTGGGTTTAAAGAAGGAAAAAATACCTCTTTTCTTAAACCTGGATTCTTTTTTTTTTTTTTTGAGACAGAGTCTCACTCTTTTGCCCGGGCTAGAG